GTCGACGAGGATTAGAAGGAGGAGGACCGGGGGGAGCGACGGGCTGCTCGGGCCTCGTGGCGTCCACTGGGCTGCAGCCAGCTTGCGCCTCCAGCTCGCGCGTGCGCTTTCGCATGCGCGCGCTCGTTCTTTGCGTGTACTGAGTCGCGTCCTGCGCGACGCGCGCGGCTAGCGCTTTTCGCGTGCGCGATTCCGCGCCGGCGGGCCGGCGACGCGCGGCCCTGGGGAGCGTTTAGCCCCCCCGCCTGGGCGAGGCCGTGGGGGCCGGCTCGGGCGTGCGTTGCACGCCGCCGGCAGGGCGCTGCCCAGCCGGGGCGGCCTGGCGCCCGCTCCAGGAAGGCCTCAGGCTTGCAGGCCAGTGGTCGCGCGCGCTCGGGCGCCTTTCGCCCGCGCGCGGCTGCGTTCTTTTGGTTTTGGCCGTGCGGCAGCAGGGCGTGCCAGAACGCGCGCGCGCCACTGTGCGCGTGCGCGGGCGGCGCGGCGTCCCGCCGGACCCGCGCCATCAGGGTGGTGCGCGTGGCCGCTTTGCCATTGAAAGAGTTCATCTTTGTCCTTCTCCCGTCCTCGTCCTCCCTCCTCCTCCTCTTCCTCCTTCTCCGTTTAGTGCACGCGTGCCTTCGCTTAACTTGTATAGTCTGTTATGTTGGTAGACTGCAGGTTCAGCGTAGGGAAGTGGGGGCTTTGCCTTAGCCATTTGGGGTCCGTAGTCGTGGGCTCGAGATCGAGCCAGGACTCGGGGGCCCACCCACCCCGCTTTGCTCCCTGTGCACCCAGCTCCGCTCGGCTCTCGGGCCGTGCGGCAGCAGGGCGTGCCAGAACGCGCGCGCGCCACTGTGCGCGTGCGCGGGCGGCGCGGCGTCCCGCCGGACCCGCGCCATCAGGGTGGTGCGCGTGGCCGCTTTGCCATTGAAAGAGTTCATCTTTGTCCTTCTCCCGTCCTCGTCCTCCCTCCTCCTCCTCTTCCTCCTTCTCCGTTTAGTGCACGCGTGCCTTCGCTTAACCTACTACTACTACTACTACTGCTGCTATTATTGCTACTACTACTACTACTACTACTGCTACTACTACTACTACTACTACTACTGCTGCTGCTACTATTACTACTACTACTACTACTACTACTACCACTACTACTACTACTACTACTTACTACTACTACTACTTCTATATACTACTACTTACTACTACTACTACGACTACGACTACTACTACTACTACGACTACGACTACTACTACGCTACGGATACTACTACTACTACTACTACTACCACTACTACTACTACTACTACTACTACTACTACTACTACTACTACTACTACTACTACTACTACTACTACTACTACTACTACTACTACTACTACTACTACTACTACTACTACTACTACTACTACTACTACTACTACTACTACCACTACTCTTACTACTACTCTACTACTGCTTATACGAAGCAATAGTACTAATAATACTGATGGTAACAATTATTGCGGGGCGAAGGCCCTGCCAGTAGAGGTAGTCGATAGTTGGCCACGCGCAGAAGGGGGTTCGGGGGAGGGGGAGGGCTTCTTGGAAGCACCCCTGCCTTCGTAGAGCAGGCGCTGGCCACGTCTGCAGATGCAAGACCTGCCTCCCTCTACGACGCCTTCCCCCCCAAAAACCCCTCTTGTGCACGCCGCCAAGGTGGGGACCGCTTTATCGGGAGGGGGAAAACACAGACGCAATCAATCGTCGATTCCCGCGGAGATATGGGAACATATGGGAAGTGGGGGGGGAAGACAGAAGCCCAGAAGATATCGGAAAATGTGAGGAATCCTGCTACTTGTGCCTCTTTGTTAGCGTGTCTCAGGGCCCCTTCGGTTTGAGCGATGCTCACGGCCGCCTTCCATCTGCCGCCGGCTGCCCGGCGACCGCCCGTGGGGCTCTCTGGGGGCAGGCTGCCGCCGTCTCCGTCCAGGCGTGCCTCCGCGCCGCGGCCGGTCGCGGGGCGCCCCGGGGCCACCAGGTGCGGCGTGCACAGTCGTATCGCCTCCCCATTCACTTCCTCCCCAGTCCCTGCCCTGCCCCTCCCCCCCTTTCCCTCGCGGGCGAAGGATAGTATCGGGGGTGGACAGACCTCCTACCCTGACACGTCGATTAAGGAATTGGCCGTTCTCGGTTCGCGAGAGGACGTCGCGGCAGTCATTCTTGCGGGTCCAGGTCCGTCGGTTTCGGTCCCAGGCCGTTTTTATTAAGGGGAGGTTTACGAAAGGGAGGTTTGTCCACCGCCGATAGTGTAGAATCCACGTTTTCGCCATCGGAGACGCATGCGCCCTGGGGCCACCAACTGCGCCGTGCACCTTCGTTGAAGTCGGGCGTGTCCCTCTACAGAAGGAATATGCAGAAATAGTTTAAGAATAGTCCAGGAAGAGTGTTCGATGATTTTATATAGTGTTTGGAAGTTGTTTGATTATCTTTTATTGTTCCTCCAACTCCGCCTGTCGAGGGACATGCCCGACCTAAATCTTCGTCCCTCCTCCCCTTCCTCCCCCGTCCCTTTCCTGCCCATCCCCCTTTTCCTTCGCGGGCAAAGAACATGATACAATCCACGCTTTTGCCGTCGGGGGCGCCTGTCCCAGGGCGGCAGGAACGTTTACGCCCCTGCGGTTGCACGTGAGGGTCTGAGCTTGCCAGCTGCCCTGGGCAGGCGCCCCTGGCAACGGAACATGTGTTTTTTTTAAATGTTGGTCTTCGCCCGGTTGAAGTGGACGCTGCTCGAGGCGGAGGAGGAGGAGGTGGAGGAGGAGCAGCAGCAGCGTCAGCAGGAGCAGCACATTCTGATAGTGTACATATTCCATACAAAATTAGGTTTTCATGTGGGGTCCACCCGTTGGAGTAATTATGCTGGTCTTCGCCCCGTAATGTCCTTTCTTCCCCTCTCTCATTCCTGATTTCTAATGGCTACAGGGTTCGTTGAATGCAGCCCTCGCCCTCCACCCCAGGGCCAGTCGACCCCTTGGGGGGGGGGGAGGGTGATCAAGCTCGAGCCAGGCGACCCAGTGGGCACCGCTCCAGGGGTCATCGGCTGGTCTGTGTAATAGTGAAGATGCAGAAATAGACAGGCCGCCCCCCCCTCTCCTCTCCCTCTCCCTCTCCTCTCCCTCTCCTCTCTCTCTCCCTTTCCCTCTCCTCTCCCTCTCCCTCTCCCTCTCCCTCTCCTCTCCCTTTCCCTCTCCTCTCCCTCTCCCTCTCCCTCTCCCTCTCCTCTCTCTCTCCCTCTCCCTCTTCCTCTCCCTCTCCCTCGGGGTGCGCTCTGGGGACCGACCTGCGGGGCCCACCCGACAGACATGTGCGCCTCCAGCTCGAGCCTGGGGCGACTGCGGTCCGAGTCGGGCTCGACTCCATTCGAGTGGAGCGAGTGGTTCCAGGAGAGTCCCTAGAATTAAGTCGGGCCTGTCCCCCTACAGGGGGATCTTCGACGAAAAATAAAGATTACCCTGTGACGTACCCAACCCATTTGTATCAATGGAAACGAGGAGTTGGCCGAAACTTGCATGGACAATCAACTTGATGTGTAAGCTACTTGGGACACGCGCCTATGGCATGATGCCCAGGATAACCATACAAGAACGAGGGGCGACAGCTACAGGCTCAAAGAGGACATGGGGAGTCGGGAACGCAGAGCAGGAGAAAAACGTGCGGGAAACCGAATCATCAGCACGGCAGCAGCAGAGGGAAGGTGACTGCAGGAGGAGAACAAGGACGAAAGCGGCGTCTAATTTGAATCTGTGGTGGGTACCCACTGTGCTGTGCCCCCCCAGCAGCCCTCGAAAGTGGCGACAGTTTCACAGATCGCACACCCCCCAGGGATGGCGAGTTCTAATTTGAGTCTGCGGTGGGTACCCACTGTGCTGTGCCCCTCAGCAGGCCTCGAAAGTGGCGACAGTTTCACAGATCGCAGCCCCCCAGGGATGGCGAGGTCTAGTTTGAGTCCGCGGTGAGTACCCACTGTGTTGGGCCCCTCAGCAGCCCTCGAAGGTGGCGACAGTTTCACAGATCGCTGCCCCCCAGGGATGGCGAGGTTTAATTCCGCGGTGAGTACCCACTGTGCTGGGCCCCGCAGCAGGCCTCGAAAGTGGTGACAGTTTCACAGATCGCAGCCCCCCAGGGATGGCGAGGTCTAGTTTGAGTCTGCGGTGGGTACCCACTGTGCTGGGCCCCCCAGCAGGCTTCGAAAGTGGCGACAGTTTCACAGATCGCAGCCCCCCAGGGATGGCGAGGTCTAGTTTGAATTTGCAGTTGGTACCCACTGCGCTGGGCCCCCCCCGGCAGGCCTCGAAAGTGGCGACAGTTTCACAGATCGCAGCCCCCCAGGGATGGCGAGTTCTAAGTTGAGTCTGCGGTGTGTACCCACTGTGCTGGGCCCCCCAGCAGGCCTCGATAGTGGCGACAGTTTCACAAATCGCAGCCCCCCAGGGATGGCGAGGTCTAATTTGAATCTGCGGTGTGTACCCATTGCGCTGGGCCCCCCAGCAGGCCTCGAAAGTGGCGACAGTTTCACAGATCGCAGCCCCCCAGGGATGGCGAGTTCTAAGTTGAGTCTGCGGTGTGTACCCACTGTGCTGGGCCCCCCAGCAGGCCTCGAAAGTGGCGACAGTTTCACAGATCGCAGCCCCCCGGGGTGGCAAGGGGGGAAGAGAGGGCGGGAAGTAAGGAAACGCGCGAGCAGTGCCCTATTCAAAACGAGAACCCAACGCGGGAGGGTTGGGAAATATTCCAAAAAAATAAGCAGAACAACTAATCGAAAAATAGTCATGGGATTATTTTTCGAATATGTTCTGACCTTTTTAGAGTATGTTTGGGGTATTTTCTATTTTTCGTCGAAAATCCCTCATGTAGGGGGGCAGGGCCGACATAACCCTAGAACGAGCATCTAACTCGCCCCCCCCCCGTTCTCTGCGCGCCATCTCTCCCGGCGCCCTTGTCGTCACCCCCCGTCGTCTTGCCTGTCTTCGTCCTCCCCCGAGGAGGTGACGCGCGAGCTGCGAGAGACCCGCCAGGCGGCCGGGGCGGGCGGGTCGGGAGAGCCGGCGGCTTCTTGCAGGGCTCTGGGGGTCATCTGGGGCCCCCTTGGGACTGTTTCGGGGCACTCCTGATCCGTCCCGACGCCCTCTCGGGGAATCTTGGGGCCCTCCCCTGGCGATCTGCTGGAGGCTTTTGGGGGGCCTTTCGGGGGGTGAGCTTGGGCCCCATGGCTCAAGAGGAAAGGGGGGAGGCTGAGACTGGGGCTCGGAGGCAGAACGAATGTCTCATGGGGCCCCCGGAGTGCTTTGGGCTTTGGGGGGTCATTTTTGGCTGTCTTTTTCCTTTCTTGGGCCCCCGGAGTGCTTTGGGGGGCATGTTTGGCAGTCTTTCTCCTTTCTCGGGTTCCTCTTGGGACTCCCTGGGGCCATGCTGGCGCCACCGCACGGCCTCAGAGATCCATCGGAGTCAAAAGGGCGAGAAGGCAGCGCTCTCTACTTTGCCATAGTTTGGTTTCGGTACGAGTTTGGCCTTTTCGGGAGTCCCTTGGGGGCTCTGGGAGCACGCGAGGCCTCAATGAGGCATGCCGACGGCTACCGTGAAGCATCTCCTGTCATCTTCCTTGAGCCATCTCAGAGGCCATCTTGGGGCGTCGAGGCCATCTTGGAGCCACCACTATCCCAAAAGGGCTGTCTGCCGCCTGCTTTCCCCCTACACAAGAAGCAGGGGAGGGGGCCGGGGAGATGTAAACCCCTCCCCGAATGCGGAGAGCATGGGTTGTTCAATGTAGAGAGAAGAGCAATCTCGTTTTACCACCTATACCGAAGTCTGCAGCCGAGCGCCATGTCTGCACATGGCCTTCATTAGATTCTGAGAGGTGGTGAGCACAAGTCTACGTTCTCACGTCTCTGCTACCTCGCTGCTTGCACCAGGTGGCCTGTGCTAATTATCTTGGCTCAATCCTTGTCCCACGATGCTTCTCGTATCGACTCTCTGCCTCCTGGCATCCAGCCTCGGCAAGGTGGCCGTCTCGTTCGACTGACTGCGGCCAGACTGGATGGGCAGGCAGTGCTGCAGCGACGCAGGCGGATAAAACCGTGTCGCGCGCTGTTTCTTGGCATCCACGTCTTCTTATGCCATCTGCATGTTCCCTGACCTTGCCTGTATCCTGGTCATCCGCATGCTCCCTGATCCGCATGTTTCGCGCCCCGCCCGCCCCATCAGAACCTCAACCGAGACTAGCATCTGCCCCTCTGGTTCCCCCTCCCCTCTTTCCTTCAGCAGTGCGGTGCCGCGCCATCCCTCCTCGTATTTGTTTGCCCGCAGTGCGTGAACACGATGCGCTCGATGAGCAGATGCTTGTTTCGGAGCCCGTCCTGGCGCCCCCCGCAGCTCCGCGGCGGGCGGGCGCGAGAGACCGGCGCGGGTCGGAGGATTTCTCGGCCGAGCGCCCGAGTCGTCGCCGTCAGAGTGCAGCGGGCACGAGGGTTACGAACAGCCCCAGCCTTGGGAAGGGGGCCCTTGGGTTCTTCGTGTCCGCCTTCCCTCCCCATCATGGCGTACTCCGCGCTCGCGGTGGTTCCGTGGGCCCTCGGGTCTTCGGCGAAGGGCTCATGTTCATGGACTCACAGTCTGATGACCGCGTGTGGACCGTGACTTGTGGAAGCCACTGCCGCCCTTTGCCTCCTCGGTCGGCGCTGCCTCCCTGCCTCCTCCTGGCGCCGGCCGCCCACAGCCCCTCCGAGCCGGGCCCACGCCACACGGCCGGCCTCGGCCCAGCGGAGGCGCGGCGGCCGAAGGCGTCGCACGGCGAAACAGGCGTCGCAGACCGCAGTGTTCGACGTGCGCGTGCGAGCAGCAAGCTCGACCTCCTACAGTCAAGACGCTGAAGCAGGGACCGCCCTGGTCTCAGGAGGGGCCGGTTGCCAGGCCGCGCCCTAAATGTGTAGGTCTGGGAACCTGCTCTTGGCCGAGGCGCATCGTGACCACAAAAAGCCCTTGGCATCCAACGATGTTTTTGTCTGTTTGTTTTTGTTTGTATCTGCGGCCCCAGAGGCCCCGACCTCTTCCCTGGTGATAGGTTGTCGTCCTGGGTCTTTGTCTGATGGTCCTGGGGCCCGACCATGCGCACCGTGAGGCTCGCTCTTCTCCCCCTCCTCCTCGGATCCCCTTCGGGGATCATCCGCTGAACTTGGAACGGTACAGAGGAGATTAGCATTGGCCCCTCCTCCTCCTCCTTCTCCTCCTCCTCCTCCTTCTCCTCCTCCTCCTCCTCCATGCCCCTCGCTCCTCCTCCCTCCTCCTCCTCCCCCTCCTCCTCGATTCTCCTCGCTCCTCCTTCCTCGTCCTCCTCCACAGACGCTGGGGTCGAGAAGCCCACCTCGGAGCTCTGGGCTCCCCACTGGCAGGACCTCCCCGCCGTGCCTCGAGAGTCGCTCCTCCCCCCCAGGGCCCCGCTCGCGGGCGGCGGGCCGGCCGCACGTCGCAGCGATCCGCCGACCTGGCCCCGTCCGCGGCACTGATCAAGTCGGGCATGTCCCTCTACAGGAGGAGTGCTCAAAAATTGTCAAAAACTAGTCTGGGGATCCAAGCGGCCCTTTTCAGGCCAAAAGAGGGAGGCCATTCGGGGGCCGGTCGGGCCCCGAAAGACGCCCTCCTGTAGGGCTTCAAAAGGGGGCCAGTTAGGGCCCAGAAGGGGTCCCAAAAGGGAGCCCGAAGAGGGCCCTTTAGGGGCCTTGGCCTCACCCTCCCCCCCATATGTTGGGGGTGGACAGACCTCCTACCCCGACACGTCGATAAAGGAATTGGCCGTTTTCGTTTCGCGAGAGGGCGTGGCGGCCGTCATTTTTGCGGGTCCAGGTCCGTCGATTTCGGCCCTAGGTCGTTTTCACTAAGGGGAGTATTGCGAAAGGGAGGTTTGTCCACCGCCGAACAGGAGGAATGCTCAAAACTTGTCAAAAACTAGTCTGTGGATGCTTTTTCAAACATGTTTGCCAATTTGTGAGTTTTCCCCAATATAATCAGTGCTTGCACCGAAGGGGTTCTTTCGGAAGTTGACAGATTTGGCGAAAGTTTCCCGCCGATTTTCGTAGCAGGCTGGGTTCCCGGTTTCCCGGCTCCGGGTTCCCGGGTTCCCGGTATTGGTTCCGGGCCCATTTCGGTGTGTTTTGGGTTCCCGGTCGATCTTCAGCGAAAGCCATCCACTGGTTGGGTTTTTTCTTTGGTGTAATTTCTGATTGTGTTTCAATGTTCGCCCAAAGTCCGCCTGTAGGAGCAAATGCGCGACCTACGCCAGGCACGCTGCATGAGCGGGAGGCGTGGGGTATCGGGGGCTTCTGAGTGCTTGCGAGGGCGGGAGCGAGGAACCAGGAGCGCGGATCAAGGAGGAGGAGGCGGAGGAGGAGGAGGAGGAGGAGGAGGAGGAGGAGGAGGAGGAGCGAGGAGGAGCGAGGAGGAGGAGCGAGGAGGAGGAGGAAATTGAGGAGAAGGAGGAGGAAGAGCAAGGAGGAGCGAGGAGGATCGAGGAGGAGGAGGGGGAGGAGGAGGAGGAGGAGGAGGAGGAGGAGGAGGAGGAGGAAGCGGTCTCGCGCTCAGGCGAGGGCGCGTTGGGGAAGCGCTCTCGCGACCAGGCCGAGTCGATCGCACAGTAATCGCCCCGCCATTGCTTTCTTCTGCACCGCTGGAGTTAAGATGGTTCAACCTACTTTAGCCTTGACCGCCAGAAAGAACTCCCAGCACCCAAATAAGAATCGACACTGGAGGGTTTTCACGTGCCGAGCCCTGGGTGGCGATCATCGTTCGACACCTCGCCAGCGTGTCGGGCAGACCCTGTTTCGATACTTCCCTTCTGGGTGCTCCAGATTCTTCCTGGAATTGGTAGGATTGGGGGGGCCGCCCCACCCGCAGCGCTGGGCGTGAAGCGCGCGGTCGCCCGTGGGGCGAGCACGCCTCCTGCTGTTCCACAATCGCACAAGAGACCTACGACCCTCGCCCCAAGAGCTCCTGAGAGGGGCGCATCCCCCCCCCTCTGCGTTTTGTGTGCACGGGAGTGGCCCGAGCTGTTTCCTGGAATTGGTAGGATGTGGTCCTCAAGCACGATGGGAACAGCGCAGCGCTGGCGGCGGGAGCTCACAGGCCGCCCCGCGGGCCCCCTGCTGGGGCGGCCGCTCCCCCCCCCGTCCCCCGGGGGCAGCCCGCTGCCCCCCTCGGGACGGCGCGGCGCGCTTGCGCGGCGCGGGCCGGGGCCGCCCCTGGGCGCCCTCGCGGACACGATGGCGGGGGGGCTGGGCTGCGCCGTGCTCGAGAGTTATCATTATTATTATGATTATTGCTATTGTTATTATTATTGTTATTATTCTTATTATTATGTTTATTATTAGTATTACAAAGAAGCTAACAATGACATAAACATCAAAACTCGGAGGTCCGCGCGGATTTCTCGGATCGGCGCTCGACCCCCCCTCCCTGGCGCGCCAGAGGCGGCGCCGGAGGCGCCGCTGGGGGGGTCAGCGCGGAACCAAGAAATCCGCGCGGACTTCCGAGGTTGTATGTTTATGTCATCGATCGTTTCCCTATTTTACCCTTTGGGCCAAAGCGCATTCTGCCCCCTACCATTCCCTCCCCCTCCCTCCCCCGATAACGTAACGCTCCCCCTCTCAGTGCGTCCCTGGCACTGCCGCAGTGCGTCCGGCACCACAGTCTGGGGGGGGGCGGGGCGCTACGTTCTGCCCCCTCCCGTGCGCCCCCCCATACCGCCCGTTCATGCCGCGAGTAGAAGAAGGCCCTCCTCGGGGCTCAAGAGACTGGGGTCAGTGCTGGCGGTGGTCACTCAGAGTGCCAGGCCTTGCAGGCTCCTGCAGTGCCAGGGCTGCACCTGTGACCCGGGCTTGGGCGCAGGATCCTGCAGGATCCTGCAGGGCCTGACTGACCCGGGCCTGCACCGACCCGGGTCGGTAGATCCCGGACGTGTGGCGCGTCAGATCCCAGACATGCTCGCGCTGTGAGAAGACTAGGGGAACAAAGAGTGACATAAACATAAAAACTCGGAGGTCCGCGCGGATTTCCCGGATCGGCGCTGGGGCCCCCCGGCGGCGCCTCCGGCGCCGCCCCTGGCGCGCTCCGCGCGCTAGGGAGGGGGGTCCAGCGCCGATCCGAGAAATCCGCGCGGACCTCCGAGTTTTTATGTTTATGCCACGTTTTGTTCCCCTAAGGACGTCGCGGCGGGGGGGCCTTGGGCCGTGCTCGGCCTCCCGTGGCCCTCGCCAGGCCCCGGGGTCTGTCGAACAAAAGCAGCTCGAGGTGAAAGACGGGCCCCAGAAAATATAGGAAAATATGGGAAGTGGGGGGAAGACAAAAACCCAGAAAACATGGGAAACTATGCGGGATATTTTTATTTGTGTGTATTTATGTGTGTGTCCCAGTTCCCCTTCATCAATCTGATTCAAGACGCTTCGCGTTCACCGCCCGCCCGTTCCAGTTCTCGCCGGAAGAGACGACGGCGCCAGGACGGGATGGCAGTATTCCGAATTTTGCGACAGACCACCCGCAGGTCCAGGAGGCGGCCTGAAGGGCCGAAGAGGGCCCCATGGAAAGGCCCCAAATGGGCCCAAGGAGGGCCCGAGGCTGGCCAGGCGGGCCTCTGGACGGTTCAAGCGCGAGTTTTCCAATGGTGGGCCCGAGCCGCGTTCGCATTTGCATCGAAGCATGGCCAAAGAGGGGTCTGGGGACCGATTTTGCGTGGATCTGCCCTACACACCCGTCTTGGCAGACATTTTCGGAGCCCATCCGGCTCAGACCCCCTGGCCGCCTCCAAGGCGGTGTAGCTCGACCAGGATGACTGAAGGTACAGTCGGGGCCCTGAAGAAGGAACCCTTTTCGTTAGGGAGGGGCTTTGCGTTCCTTGAGTGTTTCACAGCTTGCCTCAGGCTTTCCTTATGTTTTCGACAGGAAATCGAAGGTTAACTCATGGAAAAAAGGGGCCTCGTTCCTTATTTAGGGTTCCTTAGGTCAACGCCCCGACTGTATGTGTCTGGCCAGAGTCGTCGCATCGGCGGTCATCACGACGCTACTTTTTGGGGGCGTGCCCTGGATTCATTGGCGTGAGAAGGCTTGGCTTCTTGCAGGCCAGCCGCACGCCAGTTGTGGGGTCATTATGGCGATGTTGCACTGGGTGCTGCCGATGGCGGTGGTGGGGAGAGTACAGTCGAGGCGTTGACCTAAGGAAGCCTAAATAAGGAACGAGACCCCATTTTCCCAAAAGTTCAACCTCGATTTCCCATGGAAAACCTCAGGAAAACCCGAGGCAAACTTTGAAACAATCAAGGAACACCGAGCCCCTCCCCAACGAAACGGGTTCCTTCTGCAGCGCCCCGACTGTAGAGGGCTGGAGCAGCGCTCACAGCTCATGCTACGGCTGAGGGAGGCTCATATGAGAGGGTAACGTTGCGAACTATATTAGAGCATGAGAGTCACGATGATGAGTTTTCGCGCAATAACTCAGCCGTTGATCCCCATGAGCAAGGCTCATAATCTGAACGAACTTGGCTTCAGATGGATCGTCCATTCCATTATGGATGCACATGTGTTGCCCTCTTTGACATCTTGGGGTGCACACGCGCCTTGGCTCCATCGTTCTCCTCTCAAGCCCATCATCACCGTCCGACCTCCTTCCCATTGTTGAATTCATCTCGCTCTTCTCCTGTCCTCCTCCCGCCGCGCTCCTTTCGCCTTTTCTGGTTCTTCTCAGCGCGCTCACCCCGCGTGGGTGTCGCACTTCTCTGCTCCGAGACCCCGCGCCAACGTGGGGTCCCCTCTCCTTCCTGGCAGAGCCCCCGCCCAGCTTCCTCCCCGCCCCCCGCCGACTGCCCTGCCTTCCCCTCCGCCGTACGTACCCCTCCCGCCTCCCCGGATGCATGTTCTTCTTTCCCGCGAACGCGTTCCAGGAGTGTTCCTCCTCGCCCTCCTCCCTCTCTTTCTCCTTCCCACCTGCACTAGCGCTGACAGCACACACGCGCATACACACGTCCTGCAGATACGCACGTATAGCCGCACACCACGTGACACGCACGCACACGCACACGCACGTGCACGCGCACACGCACACGCACACGTACACGCAAACGCACACACCACAGGGAGTGCGCAGGGAGTGGTCTCTGAGCGCGGCCGCTATGCGCGCGGGTCGTCCATGGCATAGCAGGCGTGGCATTTTCTCGACACCATATGGGGGTGCGCAAGGGGTGGTCTCTGAGCGCGGCCGCTACGCGCGCCTGTTGTCCATGGCGTAGCAGGCGTGGCATTTTCTCGACACCATAGGGGTGCGCAAGGGGTGGTCTCTGAGCGCGGCCGCTATGCGCGCGGGTCAGCCAAAGCATAGCAAGTGTGGCATATTCGCGACACCATGGGGTGCGCAAGGGGTGGTCTCTGAGCGCGGCCGCTACGCGCGCCTGTTGTCCATGGCGTAGCAGGCGTGGCATTCTCTCGACATCATAGGGGGCACGCGATTGTTGGTCTCTGAGCGTGGCCGCTATGCACGCCCGTCGTCCAGGGCAGAGCAGGCGTGGCACTTGCTCAACACCATGAGGGTGCGCGCAAGGGATAGTCTCTGAGCGCGGCCGCTATGCGCGCCGGTCGTCCAGGACAGCAAACGTGACACTTTCTGGAAATCATGGGGGGTGCGCAAGTGCTGGTCTCTGATCGCGGCCGCAACGCGCGCCTGTTGTCCTTGGCGTAGCAGGCGATGCATTCTCTCGACATCATATGGGGAGCGCGGTGGATGGTCCCTGGGCGCGGCCGCTATGCACGCCCGTCGTCCAGGACATAGCAGGCGTGGCATTTGCTCGGCACCATACGGGGGTGCGCAAGGGGTGGTCTCTGAGCGCGACCGCTATGCGCGCGCGTCAGCCAAAGCATAGCAGGCGTGGCATATTCGCGACACCATGGGGGGTGCGCAGGGGATGGTCTCTGAGCGCGGCCGCTACGCGTGCCTGCTGTCCATGGCGTAGCAGGCGTGGCATTCTCTCGACATCATAGGGGGTGCGCGGTGGATGGTCTCTGGGCGCGGCCGCTATGCACGCCCGTCGTCCAGGACATAGCAGGCGTGGCATTTGCTCGGCACCATACGGGGGTGCGCAAGGGGTGGTCTCTGAGCGCGACCGCTATGCGCGCGCGTCAGCCAAAGCATAGCAGGCGTGGCATATTCGCGACACCATGGGGGGTGCGCAGGGGATGGTCTCTGAGCGCGGCCGCTACGCGTGCCTGCTGTCCATGGCGTAGCAGGCGTGGCATTCTCTCGACATCATAGGGGGTGCGCGGTGGATGGTCTCTGGGCGCGGCCGCTATGCACGCCCGTCGTCCAGGACATAGCAGGCGTGGCATTTGCTCGGCACCATACGGGGGTGCGCAAGGGGTGGTCTCTGAGCGCGGCCGCTATGCGCGCGGGTCGTCCAGGGCATAGCAGGCGTGGCATTCTCTCGACACCATGGGGGGTGCGCAGGGGATGGTCTCTGAGCGCGGCCGCTACGCGCGCCTGTTGTCCATGACGTAGCAGGCGTGGCATTCTCTCGACATCATATGGGGAGCGCGGTGGATGGTCCCTGGGCGCGGCCGCTATGCACGCCCGTCGTCCAGGACATAGCAGGCGTGGCATTTGCTCGGCACCATACGGGGGTGCGCAAGGGGTGGTCCAAGGCATAGCAGGCATGGCATATTCGCGACACCATGGGGGGTGCGCAGGGGATGGTCTCTGAGCGCGGCCGCTACGCGCGCCTGTTGTCCATGGCGTAGCAGGCGTGGCATTCTCTCGACATCATATGGGGTGCGCGGTGGATGGTCCCTGGGCGCGGCCGCTATGCACGCCCGTCGTCCTGGACATAACAGGCGTGGCATGTGCTCGGCACCATACGGTGGTGCGCAAGGGACAGTCTCTGAGCGCGGCCGCAAGTCGTCCATGGCATAGCAAGCATGACTTTTTCTGGAAACCATGGTGAGTGCGCAGGGGGTGGCCTTTGATCGCGGCCGCTACGCGCGCGGGTCGTCCAGGGCATACATGCCAGGCGTGGCATTTTCTCGACACCATAGGGGGTGCGCAAGGGATGGGGTCTGGCGGGGCTTCGCGCGCGTGGCATTTTCCCGACCCGGATAGGGTTGCGTCACCCGAGCCGAATTGGCCAGTGAGTTCCTATCCGAAGACCTAGGTCTTGGCCCTGGACAGCAAGCGCACATGGGAGACATTGATGCAATCATGGGTCGAGGAGTTGCGGATAGCAATTGGGAGTCCATAGCGAAGACCTGGACCTGCGTGGGTACAGAAAAACCGCTACGCCCGCTTTTGACCAGGCCATGACATTACGCGCTCTCGCTAGCAAAATCTTCGCGGGCTTTCTGTCGACAGGCGTCGCCTCGTGCGAAGAGCCCCGAGCCGCGTTGGTCGGGCGGCCCTCGTAAGCAGCGCTTGCACACGGTTTTTGTTCAATCGAAGCGGCGGCATGTGAACCGTTCCCTGTGCGATGCCCAGAAACCTTGCTTCTCTTTGGTGTTGTTTTCCTTTCTGTTCGCTCAGCGTGTCAGACCCCCAAGGCCTGACAGGCGTCACCAACGGCATCGGCGGGGCAACGGCCGCCAGCAGCATTTTTGCACGTCTCACTTCAGACCTCAGCTATCATCACGGTACATATATACACATTATAAGCATGTGGAGCTCGGTAGCGTAAGTGTTTTGCCGATTGGCGCGGGCCCTCGCACCCCCACCCCATGCAGTAGATCTTGGCAGTTCTTGGCGCCTGTATCAAGCAAGTGGGGTCTCCCTCGTAGGACACGTTGCTGCGAAGAGTCGCATCCAGGAGAGGCCCGGAACCAGACGCCCCCCTAGCCCGCCCCCCCCCCCTTCTGCCCAATGTCGGAACGCCGAATGCAAACACGTCCACCTGGCCTCAGTTAGGCCTGGCCGGCGGCGAAAGAGCCGAACATTGCCTTCGCCGATCCACGATTCGGGCATCTCGACTGGCGGCGGGGGAAAAGTTCGAAACTCGCGGAACACGGCTGCGGAATCCGAACCTCACCACCGCCTCGAGGAAAATCGTTGGTTGACGAGGTGGAGTTCGGACGCCGCCACCTGGAGGACTGCCCGCCGAGGTGGTTCGCTCATCCCCGCCTCCCTTCCCCTGACCGCCACCCCCTTTGCCGCCACGCTTTCCCGCTGGTTCACCTCTCCACCGCCCTCCCCCCCGCCCAGGCAGTTCGGCTATTCCACCCTCCAAAAACCGCTGGCGCCGACCCCCTTCCCACCAGAAAGTGCAGAGACTGCAGCCGAAGAGCCTCCAACAGTTCCCGGCTTCAGCATGAGGTCCATTTCCCATCGTGAAACCGCATCGTCAGGATGAGCAGTTTCCCAAGGCCGCCTTTTGCAGCCCTGTTCCCTTTGGCCCTTATCGGGGCGATGTTCGCCGGCAGGCCCCGCTCGGACACGCCAGCGTGGCATCCCAAGAGGCCCCGTGTGGCTCGACGGTGCTGCAGGCCCTCCCCGAGCGCGGGCGCCGGGGCGGAGGTAATCCCCATGGGGGCCGTGCCCCCGCAGTACCAGCTCGCGGGCGCCCCGCCGCCGGAGGCCCCGCGGGCGGGCAGCGCGCTCCCCCTCTGCGGCACGCCTGCGTTCCTCCTCCTCCTTCTCCTTCTCCTCCTCCTTCTCCTCCTCCTTCTCCTCTTCCTCCCTCTCCACCTCCCACTCCTCCTCCTCTTCCTCCTCCTCCTCCTCCTCCTCCTCCTCCTCCTCCCTCTCCACCTCCCCCTCCTCCTCCTCTTCCTCCTCCTCCCTCTCCTCCTCCTCCTGCGAGCGCGGCCTCGGCACGTGGCCCGGGCGAGGCGCGGCGGCGCCGCCAAGGGAGGCCCGGGTGCCCTCGGAGTTCCGGGCCCTGCGATGTTCCCTTCGCCACGAGCGCCACCGCCCAGTTACGGGCCCGGGGGGCCCGCACAGCTCCTCCTCCTCCTCCTCCTCCTTCTCCTCCTCCTCCTTCCCCAGCGCAGTGCCAGAGCACGGCGCCCCGGGTGCCAAGGCTTCCGCGCAGCCGCCCCGCCCAGATCTCTGGCGGTCGCTGCGACTCGAAAGTGGGCGCAGATGGATGGGGTCCGGGGGCTCCAGTGGTGATGCTTCGCAGCGTTGTCGTGTCTGTGACATCGTGTCCGGAGTGAGGGTCCAACGGGCACGTGAGCAATGCACACTATGCGGGGGGGAGCGCGAAACGACGCCTCAGCGAGACTGACTGGATGTAGTCCCAGACTGCTCGCCTTTACGCGGTCGCCGGGATGGCGGCAATTTCAGACAATTCCAAGCCGCCATGCACACATGCGTGAAGAGCGTGTCTATAATTTGTTCGGGGCCATACCGTGCGGGGGCGACCTCGTCCGCGAGACGCGGGCGAGTTTTCGAGCTCAAGTGAAAGACATGCTTGTTGTATTCCCTGGCGATCGTTGGGGTGACCAGGACTGGGGAACGAAAAGAGGGAAGAGGGGTCCGCTCATGTCACGATTCACGCCGGAGCCGTCTGGGGGTGCGTAGGAATAGATCATTCCCAGACGGCGTCTGCGCGTTTCGTGACGTGACTTGGGATGGGGGAGGGAGTTGGGGCGGTCACGGGCGCTATCGCGGGAGGAGGAGGAGAAGGAGGAGGTCGAGGAGGAGGGAGGGAGGGAGGGAGGAGGAGGGCGAGGAGGAGGGAGGGCGAGGAGGAGGAGGCGAGGAGGAGGAGGAGGGAGGGAGGAGGAGGGAGGTCGAGGAGGAGGGAGGGCGAGGAGGAGGAGGTCGAGGAGGAGGGAGGGAGGGAGTGGAGGCTCAGGCGGGACTCTGGTTCCTGGGCCGTTCCTTCGATCCAGGGCGGGGAGACTCATCGTTGCCGAGGCTAGCCGTGGCCAGAGAAGCCCCTTTTCGTTCCCGACTTGGCCCTCCCAGTGGCAGCCCGGTGGCTGTGCTTCATCTCCCAGACCCCCTCGAGTAGTGAAAAAATCATAACGGGAGGTTTTTCCTAATTTTCGGCCTCCAGGGGCCCTCACCGGGCCTCGGGAGCGTCAAAAAACGACTCAGGAGGCAAGACCGGTCATGGGGAAAAGGTCGGGACCTCTGGGGGTCGACGTCATGAAAAAATCATGACGTCGGGGGTCTGGGCTCCTTGCTCCGCCGTGAAGCAGAGAGGCTCTGAGGGAAGTGGGCCCGGCTCTGCCCCCCCCCCCCCGGGACTGTCTGCAGAGGGCTCGGGACGAGGAGCTGGTGCTGGAGTCCAGGATCGGTTCAGCCCAAGGCCAGCTTCCAGCATGCCAAGTGCGCATCTGATGCGATACGTCACCCCCCATCAAACCACCCCAACCCAACCCGAAGGCCCCAATTTGCCCTCCATTTCCAGTGGGGGGGGGTCGAGGAACATTGATAAAAACACATATGAAACCCATACCCCCCCAACCCGAAAGTCGGGTCTTCGGGTTGGGTCGGGGTGGTCTGGTAGGTGGTAGTCAATACGGAAGCATCTCGGCTTCCGGTTTTGGCGTGCGCATGATGTGACCGACTCGCGGCGGGGCTGTGGCTGGGCACCGCGCGGTACACGGAAGCGCGTGCGGCATCGGGCGGGCGCAGCTGCATCAGCCCGCTGCTCTAGGCTCGGGCCGAAGAAGCTGACGGCCGCGAGTAGTGCACCTGTATAAGGACCCTAAAGACCAAGGTTGCATCATAAGACGCATGGCCGGCACGGCCCGGGACGCCGATTTGCCCGCAGTCTGAGAGCCAAGCACGTCACGGTGCGGCAGCCTGTCCGCACACGGAAACCAGTCACGGCACGGCACGCGGGCGGCGACTTTGCCGCGTTTTTGGCGCGGCCCGAGGTCACGTACGGTACTCGGCATTGCACACGCGCACGGCAGTGCACGCGGGCAGTAGTATCCCGCCAATCCAGGAAATGGGCGCGGCATGGCACGCGGGCGGCACCGCTTTCGCATGCCAGCAACTAGGCGCGAGACGGCGCGCGGGCACGGCACGCCACGCCACGGCACGCGGGCGTCTTTCCCCAATCAGCGCTGGCACTGAAGGGGTCCTAGCGGAAGTTCAAAGATTTGGCGAAAGTTCCCGCCGAATTTGGTAGCAGGCTGGGTTACCAGGTTCCCGGTTCCCTGTTCCTGGGTTCCTGGTCATTGATTCCAGGCCGCGATTTCGGTGGGCTCTGGGTTCCCGGGCTCCCAGGTTCCCAGTCGCTCTCCTCAGCGTAAACCGTCCACTGATTGGGGCTTCTCTCTGGTCTAACCTTTTCAACCTTTTCCCCCTCTTTTCTCGGATCCCGGGAGCGTTCCCTCTCGGACGGGAGCGTTCCCCAGGGTCCGACAACCCGCACCCATACCCATAGCCAGTCCTCCTCTCAACGACCCCCCTATGGGTATGGGTGTGTGTTGCTCGCTCGTCACTTTTCTCGGCTCCCAAAAAACCGCGGCACGGGCCGGCGCGGCACACGAGCACCGGAGCACGCCCCGGCCCGGCGCGGCACACGGCAGGGCGTGGCCCGCGGGCGGCAGCCTGTGCGCGTGCTGGGAGCCCGGCTTCCCGAGGAGGGGCGCGGCGCGGCGGCGACGCGCGGGCGGCCTTTGCTGCACGCGCGTCGCCGCCGTGCGGCGCGCGGCGCGCGGCACGGCGGCGCACACGCGACGGGCAGTGCCAGGCGCCTTGGGCTTGACGCCCCACCGCACGGCCCGGCTCGCGGGCTCGCGGGCGCACTTCGGCGCCCCACTGCACTGCACGGCTCGCGCTCCAGACTGCTGGAACTGCTGGGGCAAGTTTCCCACCACCGCTACCATATGCAGGAGAGGGAGGAGGAGGAGGAGGAGGAGGAGGAGGAGGAGGAGGAGGAGGAGGAGGAGGAGGAGGAGGTGGACCTCCCGATCCTCCCTTCCCCCCCGTCCTATCTATTGTAGTGGTGGTGGGAAGCTGGCCCACCCAGAATCTTCCTCACTTGCAAGCAGTGAGGCCCCTTGTAGCATTCGCTGGTTAGGGAACTGCACAAGTGCCCGAGGATGCATGCATGTGAAGACCAAATGGAGGCCAGCAGACCCCTGCAAGAGGCCACCGGGGCGTCCCCTTAAACCTACCATTCGTCCTCTTTCGCCCTCCCGCCGACTCCACCGAAGGAGCGGCCCGCCTCCCGGGCAGATTCCTCCTCCTCCTCCTCCTCCTCTTCCACCTCCTCCTCCTCTTCCTCCTCCACCTCTTCCTCCTCTTCCTTATTCTCCTCCTCCTCCTCCTCCTCCTCCTCCTCCTCCTCCTGCCATGGCGACCGCAATGTTCAGGCTGACTGCGACGATCCGCGCGTTCAGGGCGGTTCGGCCCCACCCTGCGGCACCCGCCCGGTGTTTGGTGCAGGCCGTGTCCGACGCACCGATACCGCTGATCGTCCTGGAGAGCCCTCGTCGCCACCGTTGGGGGTCCCCTCCAATGTCGGGTGAATAGCAGTATCCGTGTTTTCTTGCCCCCCCCAAACGCTACCCCTGCTCATCATCTTCCTCGATGTTGCCGTCCTCCTACTGTCGGCCCCAATCAGGAGGTTGACGCTGCCAAATCAAGGGCACCCTTGGAGCGTGTTTCTTTATTGCTTGGGGCCAGTGTGTGCCACAGTGCCTGCGGGCACCACAGCGCTTGTGTACACCACAGCGCCTGCGTACACCACATCAGCCGTGTGCAGCACAGCACCAGTGTACACCACAATGCCTGCGCGCACCACAGAAACCGTGTGCAACAGAGCGCCACGGTTGCATATACATATAGAGACATATACCTATATACATATACATATATATATATATATATATATATATATATATACATATATCGGCGCACCGGGTCCGGGGGCCCGGGGCCGGGACCTCGACCACAAATGTGCGCCCCGGGGGGCCCGGAGGCTCGTCGGGGCTTGCCGGAGGCCTCCCCAGTCAGACAAGACGGCCCAAGCAGCGCCCAAGACGGCCCAAGAAACTTCCAAGAGGCCTCCAAGAGGGCTCCGAGATGCTGAAGATGGCCTCCAGACGTCCTTGGGGGCGTCCCAAGAGGGCCCCTAGACGCAAACATTTGCCCATTCCCTTCGTAAAACGTACATTTTCAACAAAGTTGTCTTTTGGGCTTTCCGACGTTACAGGACGGCCCAAGAGGCGCCCAAGACCGCCCCAAGACGGCCCAAGAAGCTTCCCAGAGGGCCCCAGGACAGCCCAAGAGGGCCCCAAGACGGCCCAAGAGGCGCCCAAGATGGCCCAAGAGGGCCCCAAGACGGGCCCAAGAGGGGGCCCAGAGGGGGACCACGAACCGCAAGCTCGAGCCTTCCGCCCCAAGAGGCCGCCAGGAGGCCCCCAGGAGGCCCCTCAAGAGGCCCCAGGAGACCCCAGACGTCCAAGGACGCCCCCAAGAGGCTCCAAGAAGCCTCCAACATGCGTCCCAAGAGGGCCCCTAGACGCAAGAATTGGCCCATTCCCTTCGTAAAACGTACATTTTTAACAAAGTCGCCTTTTGGGCTTTCCGACGTTACAGGACGGCCCAAGAGGCGCCCAAGACCGCCCCAAGACGGCCCAAGAAGCTTCCCAGAGGGCCCCAGGACAGCCCAAGAGGGCCCCAAGACGGCCCAAGAGGCGCCCAAGATGGCCCAAGAGGGCCCCAAGACGGGCCCAAGAGGGGGCCCAGAGGGGGACCACGAACCGCAAGCTCGAGCCTTCCGCCCCAAGAGGCCGCCAGGAGGCCCCCAGGAGGCCCCTCAAGAGGCCCCAGGAGACCCCAGACGTCCAAGGACGCCCCCAAGAGGCCCCAAGAAGCCTCCAACATGCGTCCCAAGAGGGCCCCTAGACGCAAAAATTGGCCCATTCCCTTCGTAAAACGTACATTTTCAACAAAGTCGCCTTTTGGGCTTTCCGACGTTACAGGACGGCCCAAGAGGCGCCCAAGACCGCCCCAAGACGGCCCAAGAAGCTTCCCAGAGGGCCCCAGGACAGCCCAAGAGGGCCCCAAGACGGCCCAAGAGGCGCCCAAGATGGCCCAAGAGGGCCCCAAGACGGGCCCAAGAGGGGGCCCAGAGGGGGACCACGAACCGCAAGCTCGAGCCTTCCGCCCCAAGAGGCCGCCAGGAGGCCCCCAGGAGGCCCCTCAAGAGGCCCCAGGAGACCCCAGACGTCCAAGGACGCCCCCAAGACGCTTCGCGTCACCAATTTTTTCTCGCAACGATTCCTGGGTCTGTGACTCGACAGAACCTAAGCGCGCGAAGCGCGCGCGTGGTTCTAGTATATATATATATATATATATATATATATATATATATATTAGAAGGGAGTTGTATGACAAAATGGAGCGCCTGTGGATTCCACAACAAACAATTGTCTTATATAAGAGTTGGAAAGGAATATGTATGGATTAAGGAGCGCCGCTGGAATCTACGAGCCCTCCCGAGTCCGCCCGCATCATTTCAATTCTTCCCATCTGCTTCCAGGAGGCTCCTGCAAAATCGGCCGCCCGAGAGCCAAGTGGACTGATTCAATTGACCACCCTGCGGTGCACGCAGAGATTCGCACGTGCGCTGTAGCGACGATCCGCACGATAAGGGGGAAAGGGTGAGGGAGGAGGAGTACGAGGAGGAGGAGGAGGAGGACGAGGACTAGGTGGAGGAGGAGGAGGAGGAGGAGGAGGAGGAGGAGGTGGAGAAGCAGGGGGGATGGAACAACGTCGCCTTTTATGATCAGCACTTCCCTGGCGTGGCGTTTGGCTGTCCGCGGCTGATCCTCACCTACATGCTCCTTTTACTTGTCCTGTGCACACTGGCGCTGTGGTGTACACCTGCGCTGCGTTGCACGCGGATGCTGTGGCGTAGACAGGCGCCGTGGTGTGCACAGGCGTTGCGGTTCACTCAAGCATTGTGGTGTACACAGGCGCTGTGTTGCACATGTTTGCTGCGGTGTTCACGTTCGCTGTGGTGTACACCAGCGCTGTGGTGCATGCAAGCACTGTGTTGGACACAGGTACTGCGTAGCACGCGGCTTTTGCGGGGTACGTGGGCGCTGTGGTGTACACGCGTTGTGGTGCACGCGAGCGCTGTGGTGTACACAGGCGCTGTGGGGCAGATCGCCACCTACATGCTGCTCGCGTCGTCGTCGCTCGTCGCTCGTCGCTCGTTGCTCGTCGCTCATCGTCGTCGTGCGCGCGGGCGCGGCTGTGGTGCCCGGGTCACACGGCGGGGGGGGGGGGCGTCACGTCATAACCCCCCTTCGTCCCCCCCCAATGACGCCCGTCATCGCCGAAAATAAGGAAACGTGCTTTTGTGTCCCGTGTTTCGCGACCCATGCCTTTACATTCCGAATGCAGTGTAGCCCCCAGAAGGGTCTTGTGTCCTCTCGCGTGTCCTCTCCAATCCAATGAAGTCCGACTGTAAGTGTAGTCCGTTCGCCAGCAGCGCCGAGCTATCATTGCTAGGAGGGGCGGATGTCGAGAGGTGGAGGCGGAGGAGGGTGCCCCAGGGGGAGGCGCCCCTGGGCCCCAGGGGAGGACCGACGGCAAACAGAAAAGGGCCAGGAGCGGGGAGGCCAAGTGCCAGGGCAACAGGCCCGAGGGAGACGGGAGGTGCAATCCCGCCACGGGCAGAGGAAGACTGACCCTTCGCAGGAGTGACCCTTGGTGCGGGCCCACAGTTGTCCTCCCCCGCGGCTCCACCATCCCACCACCCCAGTTGGGGATCGGCCACTCGAACCCCGGCGGGAAAAGCCCGTATCCCCATCTAAGGAGAAAAAATCAGCCAGTCGGGCCACGTTTGTGGGGATGGGGATCGGTCAAACGATGCGTAGTACTGGAGTTCATGCCCTTGCGAAAACATCATGGCACCGGCGCTTCTCCTCCTCTTCCTCCCCTCCTCCTCCTCTTCCTCCTTCGCCTCTTCCTTCTCCTTCCTCTGCTCCTCATCCGCATCGCCATCACCATCTTCATCATCATCATCAGCAGCAGCATCATCATCATCATCATCACCATCGTCATCAGCATCATCACCATCGCCACCACCACCATCATCATCATCATCATCATCATCATCATCAGCATCATCATCGTCATCAGCATCTTCATCATCTACATCATCATCATTATCAGATGTACCATCCTCCTCATCATGAGCATCATCAAACCAGCACATCACCGTCATCATCAACATCATCAACAATACTCATCATCACAACCAGCTTCATCAGCATCATCATCAGCATCATTCATACCATCAACAACAACCATCAACATCATCATCAGCGTCATCAGCATCCTCACCATCATCACCACAGTTGTCATAATCATGATTGTCAGCATCATTCTCATCATTGTCGTCGCCATCATCATTTCCCTCGTCATCATCATACTCATTCTCATCAGCACCATCATCACCATCTTCACCATCTACAGCATCGTCGTCATTATCAGATGTGCCATCCTGCTCCTCATCAGCATCATCATCATCATCATCATCATCAACATCATCATCATCATCGGCATCATCATAGCCATCACATCGCCATCATCATCAACATCACCGACAACACTCATCATCACCACCAGCATCATCAGCATCATCATTAACACCATCAGCACCATCAACAACAACCATCATCTCAATCAGCGTCATCATCATCCTCACCATCATCACCACCACCATTGTCATAATCATCATTGTCATCAGCATTATCATCAGCACCGTCGCCATCACCATCATCATCATCACTATCACCATCGTCAATATCATCATCACCATTGTCATCATCATCATCATCATCATCATCACCATCACCATCACCATCACCATCACCATCATCATCATCATCATCATCATCATCATCAGTCTCATCATCACCATCGGCATCATCATAACCATCACATCAACATCGTCATCGTCGTCATCGTCATCGGCATCGGTATCGTCATCAACATCGCCATCCCCAACTTCTGATCTCCTCCCTCCCTCGCCTCCTCCTCCTCCTCCTCCTCCTTCTCCTCCTCCTCCCTCCTCCTCCCTCCTCCCTCCTCCATCTCCTCCATCCCCTCCTCCTTCTCCTCCTCCTACTCCTACTCCTACTCCTCCTCCCTCCTGCTCAGCCCTCCTCCTCCTCCTCATCCTCCTCGGGGAAGCCGCGCACCAAAGGTCACTCTTGCCTTGGCCCACTCTCCCATGTGGCCGATCTGCTCCCTTGGCGCCTTGAACCTGCCTCCGCCCCGGCTCCTCTCGCTGGTCCAGCCGTGCCCCCACCCCCCCCTCCGCTTCCCAGCCTCCTCCTCCTGCCGCGCCAGGAGGAGCATGCCAGCCAGGAGGAGCAGGAAGAGGAGCAGTGGGCAGGGAGGATCCCAGACATGATCGCGTCGTCAAGACTTCAAGACGGGTTCGTTTCGCCATGTTGAGCCTCTGGGGGCCCTCACCAGGCCCTGGGACCTTCAGAAACTGCACATAATGAAAAGATGGCCCTGGGAAAGGGGTCTGGACTTCCAGGGACCGCGTATTGAAGAAATCAGGACGTCGCATTTTTGGGATGGAGGATGGAGGAGGAGGAGAATGGAAGAGGAGGAGGAGGAGGAGGAGGAGGAGGAGGAGGAGGAGGAGGGGGAGGAGGACAAGTGACAAGGAGGAGGACAAGGAGGAGGAGCAGGAGGAGCAGGAGGATGAACTAGAGGAGGAGGAGGATATTCGTCTAGCCAAATCGATCTGTGATGGTCCGGGGGCCTGAACTGGGCGCAAATGCCCAGCTGGGAGAATTCGTAACGCCCGGATCTCAGGGTCTCTTCGCGTCCTGGCCCGAACCCCCCCTGGCGGGGGCCGTGCCTGGGCTCCCCGTCGGCCCAGGCTCCCATCTCGAGGGTCGCGCGCGCGCGCGGTGCCGGCTGCGGCGCGCCAGGCGGCCCAGGACTTCGCCAGGCGCAGCACCGCGAGGGGCGGGCCGGGGCAGCCCACGCCGCAGCGAGGAGCACAGCCGGAGCGACAGAAGGGCCCGGGCCTCCCCGATGGGGTGCATGCGGCCCGGATCAGTACTCCAGACTTCGTAAGAAAAGGGAGGGGGTCTGGACCCTCCAAGACCAGCCATTTCAGACCCCCCCCCGTGGGAAAACCCTCCAAAACATCGTCCCCAGACCCCCCCAGGCCCTCCAAGATAGCCTGGAAGAGACCCCCCCCCGAAATGAGACCCCCCTCCCTTTATTACGAAATCTGGAGTAGGTCGACCTTGCCAGATCGAGGGTACCCTTGTGTCCTGTGTCTCGCGACCCATGCTTCGCACACTCCTGTGACGACGTGGCCCTCGAAAGGGTCTTGTGTCCTCTCGCGTGTCCTCTCCAATCAAGCCCGACTGTACGCGTAGGCGGGGTCGGTGGATCGCGCTGCATCGTCGATGCATCGGCGGTGCGGCTCGATGTGGCGCCTGGTTCTCGGGGCACCGGCGTCGCTGGTGCATCGCAGACGTCGCGGATGCACCCGCGATGCATCGGCGATGCACCGGCGATGCGGCGCGACCCGCCGTCCTGGCACAACTGCTTCGACCAAAGTCGGGCGGCTTCCACACGGGGCCACCTCGGGTTCGAAGGGGGCTCGGGGCCTCTCTTGTCGGGCCGTTGTCGGGCCGGACGAAAGGGGGGGATCGGGAAAGGGGGGGTTACGAAATTTGCTGCATACAGCTGGTTTCGGCCTCACCGAGGGGCCCATTCCTCGATACATAACCGCCTCCGGCGCCGGGAGGCGCCGGGAAAATCAGCTCCGTGAGCTGCTTCTCAAACCCCCCCTCTGCTATCCCCCCCTCTCGCCCGACCCGATCTTGGCCCCCGCTCGAGCCGAGCTCCTGTGGCTCCTCGCGGGGTGTCCTCGCGGGGCCGGGCTCCGCTGGGGCCCGAGGGGAGGGGGGCCCCGCCCCGCGGTGCCGGCGCCCCACGCGGGGGCAGGGCGTTGGGGCTGTGGTGGCAGTCGGCCCTCTCCCGCGCTGCCCACGCCTCTTGCCTTGAGTCGGGCCAGTCCCCCTACAGGGGGATATTTCTACGAAAATAAAAAATACACCCAAAATAGTCAAGAAATAGTCCAACAATAGTCTGGGGACTGTTTGTTTGGTATTGTTTTACCTTTCTGGGGTACTTTTGAGGATTTTTTTTCGTCGAAAATCCCCCTGTAGGGGGACACGCCCCACATAACTCTTGCCTTGAGTCGGGCACGTCCCTCTATTTTGGAACATGTTTGGCGCATCTCTTGAGCATTTGGAATTTGTCGTCCAACATCCGCCTGTAGGAGGACGTGCCCGACCTAACTCTTGCCCTCTCCCCCCCTTCGCCCATGCGCAGGCTGGCTGGGGAGGGAAAGTGGACATCGGGTCCAGGATCGGGACACATCGCTCTGGAGTGAAGTCGGGCATGTCCCTCTACAGGACGACTATTCAAAAACAATCAAAACATAGTCTGGGACGATGTTTTACTATTTTTGACCATTTGGTCTATTGTTTCATCATTGTTGTACTGTTCTTAGAAGTCCTCCTGTAGGGGGACATGCCCGATCGAACTCTGGAGCGTTCCAGAGTGCTCTCAGAGCGTCTCTGGGATGCTCTCAGAGCGCCGCGTGGCGCCCGATACGTCCTCCAGAGCCGCCAGATCTCGGAGACCCCAGGTTTATCCCGATCCGGCGCTGTCCCGCTCCTGGAATATTGTTTAGGGGGTCGGGCGAATCGCGCACTGATCGTCCCCGTGGTTGGTATGTGCTGTTCCGAGGGGCGGCATTGGTCGTCCTCCTCTTTGGTTCTTCTCGTCACCGCCCGCCGCGCCGCCCTCCGTTTCCCCATCCTGAGCCCCTCGCCCGCCTTCCCCCCCCCCCTCGCACCTCCCCATTTGTCCTCCTTGCGTCCTTTCTTGTCACTTCTCCCTCCTGCTCCGCCTCCTCCTCCGCCTCCTCCTCCTCCTCACCCTCCTGCTCCTCCTCTTCCTCCGCACTTCCCTATCATCAGCCCCTTGCCCTAACCCCCTCACACCTCCACATCCCTCCCCCTTGCAGCCTCCATTATCCCTTCTCCCTCCTCCCCCTCCTCCTCCTCCTCCTCCCCCTCCTCCTCCTCCTCCTCCTCCTCCTCTTTTCGTTCCCCCTCTCCTCCCCCTACGGGACGGCGTCCCGACCGAACTCCTCTCCTCCCCCTACTCCTCGTCCTTCTCCTCCTCCTCCCCCCCTCCTCCTCATCCTTCTCCTCCTCCTCCTCCTCCCACTCCTCCCCTCACGCTCCCCTCCCGTTCCTCCTCTCATGCCTCCCTGCTCTTGACTCCGCCCCCTCCCACGCCCCCTCTCCTCTCGCAGGCCGCATCACCCAAAGCCTCGCCTCTGGTGCGCCCAGCGGCATAAGTGCGTCGTGGCACCACGCACGACCGCAAGGGCGGAGGGCGCCGCCCGGTGCCCCGGCGTGGTGCGGTGAGCCCGCCGACGAGTCTGGACAGGGGGCCCGTGCGGCCCTCGCCGGGGAGAAGGAGAGCGATCGGCTCGCGCGGATGCTTCTCGGGCCCGTGCACGGAGAGGGGTGGCCTCCGGCGAGGTGTGGTAGGACGGGCCCCCGCGAGGGCGCGAAGCTGTACGCGGTTCGCCTTGGCATCGCTGGGACGTGTGCATTTTTCCTTCGGCGAGGACCATCGAGGAGCATCCTTGATAATTTGGCGAAGAAACCACACACGAAACCGACAAAAAAACACAGGGAATGGACGTCCGAGCGATGCCCAGTCGCGGTTTGCCATTCGCGACTCCTCATCCTTCCTCATCGTCCTCCTCTTCTCCCCCAGGGTGGCGGCGCGAGAGCGCAAGGGCATTCGCGCTTCGCGCAGCGCGACGCGCAACACATGGCTGCCCATGGGTGTGCGGCGCAAGGTTGGCCGAAGTGGTAGGCACGACCCTCCCTGCTGCCAGCGCGCGCGCAGGGGCGAAAAAGAGGGTGAAAGGAACCTGTCAAGCCGACTGGTTGGAGCCAGTGCTTTTTGGGTTTGTTGGTCTCCGCGGGCCATTTTCGGCCCCTGGGACCGTCCAAAGGGGATCCGGGGTGGGAAAGTGCACGAGAGTGGCCCCGGAGGGATCGGGGACCGGATTTCGAGAGCATTTGCCCTTATGACCCCTCTTGGCCGATTTTCTCGGGCCCCATCCAGCTCAGCCCCCCCCCAAGCCGCCTCCAAAGCCGATTGGCTGATTGGTTTCGCACGGGAGAGCGGCGCAGATGAGCGCAGCGCACGGCCCAGCTCGGTCAGGCAGTGCGCTGCGCGCGACGCGCGCGCACGCACGCGACCTGGCCAGGGCGTGTGGCCATGGCCTGGGCGTCACAGAGCTTCTGGTCGCGCGGGCACTGGGAGGCGGATGGTGGTCCTTGCTTGTTTTCGTTTTTCTCACGAAGTGCCTGTACCCATCGGTCGTTGAGCGTAGGCACTTTTGGATTCCCAGATTCCAATCTACTTTAATCGCCTTCCTGCTTCAATGATCGATGGAGTGGCTTCACCTTTTCCGACCTTATTACGTAGGTGGCGGGTGGACACCCAATCTTTTTTCAACGTCTTTCTACTTCATGTTTCTACCTACTTCTTCCGACCGATGGGTACGTAGCAGCATTGGGCTCGGGGTTCTCACTGCGCCACCGGCCCGCGCGCAGCCACAGCGTTCTGCGCTCCTACTTGAGTAGTTTCCAGCTGGGAGGCGGAGGTTCGGTCACTCGGCTCGGTCCTCGCATGGGGCCGTGGGCCTCATCATCTTTTTTGCCCTGCTACCTACTGCCGCCTTCCGGACGGGGCTAGGACGAGGATGAATCCGTGCCAGAGCGTTCCAGAACGCTCTCAGAGCGTTCTGGAACGCTTTGAGAAGGCCGCGGCGCCGAGACATCCTCCAGAACCGCCAGATCTCAAAGATTCTCGAATTCCCCACATGCTTCGTGGAGTTATGGTTTTCTTCCATGCCTCGTCGCACACGTGCTCACTCACCTCACATCCCTCTTCCCCTTATCTCGCAGCACAGCACAGCACAGCACAGCACTGCTCAGCATAGCTAAGCACAGCTCAGCTCAGCTCAGCTCAGCACAGCTCAGCTCAGCACAGCACAGCAGAGAATAGCAGGCGTGGCATTTTCTCGACACCATAGGGGGTGCGCAGGGGGTGGTCCCTCAGCGCGGTTGCTATACACGACGGTCGTCCAGGGCATAGCAGGCGTTACATTTTCTCGGCACCACTGGGGGTGCGCAGTGGGTGGTCCCTCAGCGCGGTTGCTATACACGACGGTCGTCCAGGGCATAGCAGGCGTGGCATTTTCTCGACGTCATAGGGGGTGCGCAGGGGGTGGTCCCTCAGCGCGGCCGCTATACACGACGGTCGTCCAGGGCATAGCAGGCGTGGCATTTTCTCGACGCCATAGGGGGTGCGCAGGGGGTTGGTCCCTCAGCGCGGCCGCTATGCACGCCGGTCGTCCAGGGCATAGCAGGCGTGGCATTTTCTCGACGCCATTGGGGGTGCGAAGGGGGTGGTCCCTCAGCGCGGCCGCTATACACGGCGGTCGTCCAGGGAATAGCAGGCGTGGCACTTTCTCGAAACCATTGGGGGTGCGCAGGGGGTGGTCCCTCAGCGCGGTTGCTATACACGACGGTCCAGGGCATAGCAGGCGTGGCAGCTTCTCGTCGCCATAGGGGGTACGCAGGGGATGGTCCCTCAGCGCGGCCGCTATGCACGACGGTCGTCAAGAGAATAGAATGCGTGGCCCCTCCACGACACCATAGGGGGTGGCCAGGGGGTGGCCCCTCAGCGCGGCCGCTATGCACGATTGTCTTCCAGAGCATAGCAGGCGTGGCATTTTCTCGACGCCATTGGGGGTGCGCAGGGGGTGATCCCTCAGCGCGGCCGCTATACACGGCGGTCGTCCAGGGCATAGCAGGCGTGGCATTTTCTCGACGCCATAGGGGGTGCGCAGGGGGTGGTCCCTCAGCGCAGCCGCTATACACGACGGTCGTCCAGGGCATAGCAGGCGTGGCATTTTCTCGCACCATAGGGGGTGCGCAGGGGGTGGTCCCTCAGCGCGGCCGCTATACACGACGGTCGTCCAGGGCATAGCAGGCGTGGCTTCTCGCATAGGGGTGCGCAGGGGTGGTCCCTCAGCGCGGCCGCTATGCACGACGGTCGTCCAGGGCATAGCAGGCGTGGCATTTTCTCGACGCCATTGGGGGTGCGCAGACGGTGGTTCCTCAGGCGGCCGCTATGCACGACGGTCGTCCAGGGAATAGCAGCGTGGCATTTTCTCGACGTCATAGGGGGTGCGCAGGGGGTGGTCCTTCAGCGCGGCCGCTATACACGACGGTCGTCCAGGGCATAGCAGGCGTGGCATTTTCTCGACACCATTGGGGGTGCGCAGTGGGTGGTCCCTCAGCGCGGCCGCTATACACGACGGTCGTCCAGGGCATAGCAGGCGTGGCATTTTCTCGGCACCATTGGGGGTGTGCAGGGGGTGGTCCCTCAGCGCGGCCGCTATACACGACGGTCGTCCAGGGCATAGCAGGCGTGGCAGTTTCTCGACGCCATAGGGGGTGCGCAGGGGGTGGTCCCTGAGCGTGGCCGCTATGCACTCTGGTCGTCCAGGGAATAGCAGGCGTGGCACTTTCTCGACGCCATAGGGGGTGCGCAGGGGGTGGTCCCTCACCGCAGCCGCTATGCACGACGGTCGTCCAGGGCATAGCAGGCGTAGCACTTTCTCGGCACCATAGAGGGTTTGCAGGGGGTGGTCCCTCACCGCGGCCACTATGCACGACGGTCGTCCACGGCATAGCAAGCGTGGCGGTTTGTCGACGCCAGACGGGGTGCGCAGGGGGTGGTCCCTCACCGCGGCCGCTGGCTGGGTCGAATCTGTCCCCGATGGATGATAGAAGGCTAGGAAGAGGGAGGAGGTTCAAACAATATGGCGTTGGATGACACATAGGGGAACATTCGCGACGAGGTCTCAGAACGCAGAATTGCGCATATATTATAAACTTAAGCAAACACATAAGATGTAAATTAAGTATGTGGGGTTCCTTGGTAGCGTAATTATCCCCACCCGATTTGATCCTCGCTTTGGCTTCGTCCTCGCCTTCCTTCAGGCACGCGCTCCCGGCTGGGAGATCCGGCTCCAGACCCTGGCCCAGCCCGATCGGTGGGAGATATGGACGTGGCGGGCAGCCTGAGGGTCGATATAGAGGCAGCAGTGTCTGCTGGAGGCAGCAAAGGTAGTCTCGTATTCGAGCTCGGCTGGACGAGGCCGCCTGCACCCAGCGCAAAAAAACAAATCATCTCCGGGCAAGATGCCTGCTCCTGCGCCACGCGTCCTTCACTCTCCCCCGCCTTCTTTGGAGATGCAGACGGAGAAAGGCAGCAGCCATACAGTCAACCCGCACAGTAAGTACGGGCAACCTTCTCAAGGGTACTCTTGCATCCTTGCCTCCTCGGTCCATCCTTGGCCACTTTCGTTGGCCGCGCCCTGCTCGAAAAGCTTCACAATGGGCGTCCAAGGCCCTTGCATCCTTATCGCGCATCCTTACTATACTGGTTGACTGTAAGCTTTGCGCATTGTGTGTTTGGCTTCGCGCAGAGGCTCAAGTATGCCGTCTTAGCCATGGGCGGCACCACTGCTGGGCGGTTCATCTTCAGCATACCAGCCGGCCTCCTCCCAGGTTGGCTTTTGGGAGGATGCAGGGGAGTGGCGGGCAACCCGCTGGGCAGCAGGCACGAGTTTTGCCGGCTGAATCGGTTGGCCCTGCACGGGTTTTCCGTGGAGGCCACATGAGCAAGATTAGATCTTGGCAGTCTAGTTTTTTGTCCCAGGGAGTGCGCGTGCACGTGTTGACTGCGCACAGGCGCTTTCCCAACAGCGGTAAGGTATGTACTCTTCCCGCGCATGCATGGTGGATTGTGTCTCTGTCTGAGGATCCCGTCGTCGCTTCACTGGGGCTCGTCTTTAGAAGCGAGGGTCGCAAAGATGTCATAGCGGGTTCCAGGGGCTTACCCTGACGGCGTTCATTGGTGTTCAGAGTTTTTTGTTTGTTTTTCTTTTTTTTCAGTGGGTAAGTTGTAACAGGGTACCCCTACCATCTTGAGCTCGCAACTTCAAACTGGTTACCGCTCGGTGACCACACATTGAGGATGGTGACAGTGTATAGCACAGAGACCGAGGCGTGATCTCTCAGCCATCCGTCCGAGCTTGCAGTGCTGAGTAGTCGAGAGTGCGCTGCATCACATGTCTGCCCCTGCGCCTGGGAGTGCTCGCCCTCGTCGCGAGGACACGGGGGCCGTATCCGTCAGTCTTGGCCTCAGGACCAGCAAGGCCAGATTCGAAGGTGGCGGCGGTTGAGCAGAGAGAGTGAGGCGAGATCTCTCAACCGCTCGTCGGAATTGATGATGCTCCCAGTCGAACGGCGCCGTCGTGCACATCCGCCCCCGCGCTCGGTAGTCTGCGACGTCGCGGCGAGGTCACCGGGGGCGCATTCACCAATCCTTGCCACATGGTGGGCCAGGCTAGGATTGGTTTCTTGGTATCGCACGGAGCTGTGCATTCTTCTCGGCGGGGACAATCGAGGAGCATCTTGGATCATCTTGCGGAAAAGCGCGCGAAACCGAAGAACACACGGGAGATGAACGTCCGAGCGATGTTGAGGTTTAGGAGGATGTGTTGCGTGCCCCGAGTGTTGGGGGCGTCCAGGCAAGGTGGAACGCGTTCAGGATGCGGTTGTAGGCCCGCAGAGCATGTTGCATGTTGCCGCGCGGGGGTGGTCTATGGTGGGTCGTGTGCGGGTTGCCGGGCTTCTTTTTTTGGGGGGGGTCCCTCGAGTGCTCTCTTGCAGCTTCATGACGCGTCTGGGGGCCTTCCTGCGCCAGTGTCGGAAGCATGCGGGGAAACCTCTGTTGCCTCAGCTCGGCAGTCCGCAGGACATTGAAGGGCTTCTGCACGCCTTGGCAGCTCCTGGTTATGTCCTCAGGTGACGTTGTGGCGTCCACGGAGATTATTGGGGAGAGTGTGGCCATCTTGGGTACGTTTTGGAACGGTCATGCACAACCTTGGTGTTGCAGCCTGGGAGGCCATCTTCACGCCAGTCAGCGGAGCGCCTTATGCTTGATGGAAATTGTGTTGGGCGAAAAAAAGTTGGGACGAAACATGTGTATCATCCCAGTACCAGCGAAGCGCTCTCTGTGGCAATCCTTCGAGCACCGCCCAGAAGGCCGTCACATGTGGCACCTCTCATCTCCACGTCCCTTGGTAGCCTCTTGGTTCGCCTTCGCGACCCTCTTGGGATGCGACTTAGAGCTTTCTTGGCCGTCTGTGGGGTCCCTTGGGGCCGCCGTTGGGCCGTCAGGGGAACTACTTGGGCCGTCTAGGGGCCATCTGAGGAAATTGTGGGTCCCCCTGGATGCCCTCTTGGGCCAGCTTGGAGCTCTCGTGGGGCCGTCCTGGGCCGACCAGGGGTCGTCTTGGGGTTCTCAGTGGGCCCCCGTGGGCCGTCGATGACCACAGTTGGACCGATCTTCCACCGAAGAGCGTGGAAAGCGAATAACAGATGAAGCAAAACCGCATAGGGAGCATCCCTGTTCATTTGGCCTGTCGAGGGCCTGCTGGAGAGGGCCTCGAGGGTGGTTCGGGCCCTGTTGGAGACCTCTTGCGGCATGTTCGGCGCCCCTTGCAGGGTATTGGGCACCTCTTGAGGCGGTGCTGGGCCAGCGCGGCGGCCTTCGGCCTTGGCGAGCCCAGGACCAGAGTCCTAGAGGCTGGCACCAACACCAATGTCGGTGGTACGCCTCCACCGAGGGAAGATGATCCCGATACCGGTGATGGTGGTGATAGTTCGGGGGTGGACAGAACCCCCAACAGTGACACGTCGATTAGTGAATTTTCCGTTTTCGGTTCTCGAGAGGGCGCCGTGGCCGTTATTTTCCAGACTTGCGCCCGCCAGGTTTGGGCCTCAGGTCGTTTTCACTAAATCATGTTTTACTAAAGGGTGGTCTGTCCATCCCGGAATAGTCGGGCTTCCGATGTGGCCGAAACAGACCACCAGCACCACAACCTACGACCGCCTTCCCCGGTGGAGGCGCCCCCCCGTGCTGGTGCTGGTGCCCGCGGCCAGGCCCCCATACTGGGGGAGCTGCAAGGGAGGCGGTGGGCCGGCCGCTCGGGAGGAGGGGAGCCGGTGCATGCAGCACGCAATGGCGGTGGGGCGCCCCCAAGAAAGGGGGTTGGGCAACGAGGTCTTATACATGCGGGGGTGGACAGAACCCCTCCCCCCTGCCTTGACACGTCGAGTTGTGGATTGTCCGATTTCGGCTCTCGAGAGGGCGCCGCGGCCGTCGTTTTCCAAGCTTGCGCCCGCCAGCTTTGGGCCTGAGGTCGTTTCCACGAAACCACGTTTTACCCAAGGGGTTTCTGTCATCCCTGATACTCAAGCAGTGGCGGAGCGTCCTGGCGTGCCCATAGGCCCACCAAGCAATGTTCTAAGAACCTTTTGTGGTTCCAACAACAGTTTCTCACAACATTTATGGCTGGGACTGTCTTGTTTTCACGCATCGAGTTTGTGTTCTAAGAACACTGTTCTTGTTTTTAGAAGATGTTGGGGCTCTCAGAACATGTCGTGGTAGGCCTCTAGGAGTGCCGGGACGGTCGGTCCCTGCCCAATCTAAGCCACGCTTTACCAAAGGGGGCGCTGTCATCCTGGACACATCTCCGCCACCGCTGGCCAGGCCCAGCCTGCGCCGAGGAGCGGCGCGTGTGCCTCCGCGGCCAAGCCAGGGGGCGCACACGTCGCTCCTGGGCTCGGCATGGGCCAGGCACCTCACCAGGCTCACAGGGCGACGCCTTGCACACACTTACCAGCCTGGAACATATCCCTATCCCTATGCTGGGCATCTCCTCATCTCGATGCCAATCTTAGGGATTCCCTTATTTTTTGAGGGCGCATCCCTGAGATTGTCATCGCTTTTTGGCGTGTCAATCTTAGGGATAGGGATACGTTCGAGGCTGGTAATACACATACAGCTTTTGGAGTTCTGCGCTGACCTCTTTGATCTGTGCTGGGCCCCCCTGGCTGCGCTTCCGGCGCCGCCCCTGAAGCGCTCCGCGCGCCAGGGAGAGGGGCCCAGCGCCGATCAAAGCAGTGCGCGTAGAGCTCCGGAAGCTGTATGCTAGTGCAGTTGTTTGTTCCTCTACGGACAGCAGGCTGCATTCTACCACGCCTCAACGTGCAAGGGGGGCGGATTTCAGTCAAAGATCTGTCGGCCCGTGAGCACAATTCGTGGGCTGCCTTTGGGACTTAAACTGATCCCGCTGCGCTACCGCATGTATTCGCCACTGCGCTTGGGGAAGAAACTCCACAGCGAGAGAGGGCTGAGTAGGAGCCTGTAGGGCTGGGGTCCGCCTGGGGCCCAGGGTGCAACCTTCCCCGCCCATAGCCTCGCTGTTGGCTTAATTTTGAACCAGAGTGCAAAGCTGAAAGACTGGGAGACAAACAATCGCCTTTTTGAAGCTGTGTGGATTGGGGCGTGCCGAATTCAGTCATGCTCCGCGTGGGGCAGCATCAATATGACGGTGAATGGGCCAATGGATACTTGTCGAACGTTGATGGCGTCCGTGGGCCATTGCTGAGGGGCTGCCTCAGTCAGAGCTACCCAAGGGATCGACAGTCACGGGCTACCGATCATCGAGGGCTGTCTTCGGCGTAGATGTAAGTCGGACCTGCCCCTCTACAGGGGGAATGTTCAAAAATAGTTAAAAACAACGTATTTTTCAGACCATTTCTGAGTATGTGTCGAGTATGTTTTATTTTTAGTCGGAAATCCCAATGTGAGGGGGGGACACGCCCGACTTATGCGTAGATGGGGCGGCGCAGGCGCGACTGATCAGATGTCCAGGTGCCCTGTCCATGCTCGGGCAGCGACCCCTGGGGGTGCCGGCAGGCAGGAGAGGGGCCCTGGAACAGCATCACTCGGGGGCGGCAAAGAGGGGGGTGATGACCAGGGGGGGGGGTGGATATCATTCAGGAGGGGAAAAAACACACAGGCACAATTAATCATCGATTCCCCAGAAAATATAGGAAAATATGGGAATTGGTCGGGAAGACAAAAACCCAGAAAATATATGAAAATATGGGGAATTCTGTTGTCTGTGTGTATTTATTTGTGTGTCCTGGGGCCCCTTCAATCATGGCGTGGGCCATGATATCTCCCCAGATTTCATGGCGCCTCTTCTCATTTCATCACGTCCCTGGCCCCCCCCGCTGGGCCGCGCACATGCCGCCGGTCATGATTTGCACCCGTCCTCTTGGACACCCCCCTCTTTGCCGCTCCCGAATCACAGAACATTTTTTCGAATGCCCGCGGCATGCAGTACTGTGGTTTTTGGTGCTGGCAGGGAGCACATATGGACGTCAAACGGCGAGGGTTCGACAGTTAGCCTTGCATGGCGAAGGCCGGGGAGAGAAACGCAGCATGGAAGGCAGAGTCCTTGGGGGCCCCGTTCACCGCAGGACAAGAGCATCGGATTGTTATGCTTTTCATGGCAATGGTCTGTGGCTTGCGCTGTTGGTGTCTCCCATTCGATGTGCCGCTATCTGAGAAGGCGAACAGCCGTCTCTCCAGCGTGGCACTATTATGGCCACTTGCAGCTTTTGTATCTAGTGGCCGTCAGGCCATCCCGCCACCGCGCCTGGGTTGCAGGTCATCGGCCTCTTTGATGCCTGTTGGGTCCTCTTAAGAAGGCCTCTCGGAACCTGTTCTTGAGAGGCACTTTTGCCGTGTCTCGGGGCTTCTCGGAGGCCTCCCGAGAGCATTTGGGCTG